GGGAAGGAAGGGGAGGAGGTGAGAATGGAAGGGGAGAAGGAAGGGAGGGAGGAGGGGAAGGAAGAGATGTGAGGAAGGGGAGGAGGTGAGAGAGGAAGTACAGGAGGAAGGGATTGGAGGAGAGAAAAGAGGGGGAGGAGAGGGAAGAGGAAGGAGAAGAGGTGATGAGACAGCAAGGGGGAGAAGATGAGGGAAGAGGTGGCAGTGGCACAGCAACATCCAGAGGACAAATACCCACGACATGAGAGAATGGAGGAAACAAAACAGGAGGTTCAACAAACACATGAAAAGAACAAAGACACAAAAGGGAGAAAAGGAAAAAATGTGATTAGTGTTTTCAGTTCATCAAAAGCTTCCACCTACACAGTTAGCTCTCCCCATCTTCCCCAAACAGACTCGGAGCTCTATCTACACTGCCTCCTTCTGGCACGGGTCCTCCTGGCACAGTGTCGATGACCAGCAGTGAGCTGGGCTAGTGGGTAGGCACTCCAATGTTAGATCCATCTCTCCACGCCTCCAGGGACGAAACACAGTGTGCTGCTGAAGGTGAGACTTTTCCTGATTTCAGGAAAGTTAAAGTAGGGGAGGCGCAGATGTGCACCCCACAGACCGTAACTCTACTCTTGACCAGTCACCAGGGACTAGTGACATGAGGTGACCCTGTTTCCCCAATATTCTTGTGCTAAATTACCACAGCGGTATGAGGAGACATAACCAAAATACTACCTTAAATTAATGGAAGGCTGAAGAAAGAATCAGCATCTTAGGCATATCCCCTCCCCTCCCAAGTACTCCTGGGTCCTTATTTCACAAGCCCTCACACAAGTAGGAGGAAGTACTGACATTCCCATTTCACAGAAGGAACGGAGGCTCAGGGTGTTGACTGAACTGCCAAGGTTGTCCCACCAGGCGGGAGGGGAGTGGGGTCATGTAGCAATGCCCCTCAAGGCTGCCCTCATCCCACCACACACAGAGGGAGGCACCAAGGGCCACACTGTGATAGCTGGAAGAAACCATAACATGAGACTTTGTTTATTGCTTCCTTTCCCTAAACCCACCCCTGTAGTGTCACAGAGGACAACACTGAGAGGCCTTGACAAGGAACACACTCTCCCCTGTTGTGTGGACTCTACCCACGGTGACCCAAGCCCCCACTCCCAATGCCTTTGCCTCTATCCCTTAACCCATTCCAGAAGTTAGAAATCTGTTCACACTGAAAAGTACCATTACTCTCATATATTATATTTAAGAGCATGTTGTAGTAAATGAAAAAGTATCCAAGAAATGGCCCCTGAGCCATAAATCTGGCCACATTTCAGCTGTCCAACATAAAACTCATTTTTGATGAGACAGTAAAAACGATTAAAGCTCAATTTCTAAGGTGTAATGTTAGAAAATTCTTAAGATTCTGATTTGTGCTCACTTCCCTGGGACTCAATTACTCGTTTATTTATTACCCCCTCACGTGTACTGAATACATTAAATCTTCACGCCAGATCTTCAGTAATTTCTACCCAGACCACTGGTCCTTAATTGAATCCTAAATATGCTTCCCGCCCTCCAGAGTGAGAGAAAACAGCATCTTAAAGCCAGAAATTGGTGTCTCAGTCAGTTTACAATAAATTTTCAACCACTCCTAGCGTCTTTTAAAAAAATCTTTGGGAGCCAACCTTCTCTTGACACTCCCAATCCTTCCGAGGGGAGCACAGTGCTAAACAGAGGAAAAGTGGAAAGGGGGAGAGGTCAGAGCAGGCGGCATTGATAGTATCCTTGCAAAGTATTTATAAACTCCTCATTCACCATCTGAGATCATAATAACAATTTCTTTATGCATAAAATCACCTTCCTGTCATCCCAAAGACACTAATTCTTGCTCTGTCACCTTTTAAGAGCTTGGCAATAGCAAGACATAAAACTGGAGGGGCTGGCAGCAGGCTCATGGTCCACTAGGCATGCTCATTAGCGCTTAATTAGGAACTAGACACCTGCCATAAGAAATGTGCTCGGAGAAGGATGAGGAACAGGTCTGCCCTACCAGCAATTGCTATCATTACTTGGAGAATAAGAGCTATGTCCGGCTTCTGGGAGGGAAAGGCAATGATGCATACACAAGCAAGTGCAACGGGGTAATTAAGCACGGCACGGATTACAAGATGAGAGAGGCCAAGCAGAGGGGAAGGGATTTAACTACCGGGTGGAGGCCACCACCCTTTCACCCCTCCCTGCACACCCTGTTCCCCCAAAAATCCAGAACAGAGTCACCAAAAGATGTTCCTGGAGGTGCGATTTTATGTCACAGCAAAGGCATACTTGAAGCAAATGTCTGGGTACCCGAGAAGTAGAGCTTTTCTGCCAAACCCAAGTTGGTTTTGAGAAAGATGAACTAGAAAGCATTGTCTGATATATCAGTAAAAAGAAAAACTAGCTTATATAATAAAGGGGCTTCACCACAGCTGTGAAGTAGACCCACGTGATTAAACCCAACATTTAAGCGAATAACTATCAACAGGGATATCCAACAGCCTAATAGGCCCCGGGGAAACTCCCCTCCTCTTGAAGAAAGCTCCCTGTTCATTACTGGAGGCAACCAAGTTCCTCCATCCCTAGCTTAGCCACATTTCTTCCCTCTTTTAAAGCAAAATCCTATCAAACTGGAAGGAGTACTAAGCAGTGACAGGATGGATCACAACTACCGAAGATGCTGTGGATCCAGGGAACGTGGATTCTGTGGCCTCACATTCTACTTCTTTTCCTGCCATGCAGCACTCCTAGATATCTTCGTGTCCACTACATGGCCTCAGCTCAGAACACACCCAAGGCAAGAAGGGTGGGCATCACAGATCCCATTTCGCAGAGAAGAGAGTGGCTTACACGGGGCTCACAGCCACAGTGAGGACTATAAGCCTTTCATTCCCTAGAACAGTATTTCTCCTATGACCCAGCAGCCCAGCCCTGTTCACAAGCAGTTAGGTAGAGTGTTCTCCCAAGCAAGAGGAAGGAAGAGGTGATCTCCTCCAACAAAGACCTCCCATGTCTCTCCCTTCCCAGGTAAGGGGATGCTCCTGTGGGCATATAATGCCACATATCCTGAGACAATCCACCTTCACCACTGGACGTTTACCAGAGATAAATCCACCTTTACCATGAAGCCTTAACAGCAGTGACAGACGGAAACGTGTTCTTAGATTTGTGCCTCATGAGCCCCACTCTCTAGTCTCCAATCCCCAATCCTCCGTCCCTATGTTTGAAAAAGAAGGATCTCTTTTGTTCCAGCTCTCTTCCAAGGAAGCTTGCAAAGAATTAAGCCTGGAACAGTGGCAGCTATGGCTTCTTGCAGAAGAAGATGCTTAACAAAAAGTGTTATTTCTGAACATCACACACATATTGGAATGCACACAAGGACCACATCCAGGAGAGTAAACAATTAAGTCCAAAAGAGCAGCCCACCTGCACCGTGTGTCTTTGAAAGGACATTTTCTCTCAACAGGGCTCACTGGAAACAATCCAGTGATCGCCACCTTCACCAAAATG